CTCACTATAAGAAGCCATTAGGATGTGAAGCTAAGACACTTTTATGGTGTGCCCACAGAGGAAGCAACCTTTTCATTAATGCTCCTATCAGAGTAGGTAGCCTAGAAATCAACTTTCTATTGATTTGACCCATGGGTAAGTGATATAAGATACTTATTGGTCTATATATACATGATATTTCTATACAGTGGACATGCTTTTCAGTGCTGGCATCTCTCAACAACTTAGCAAAGTAATACCTTGATTTAATTAAACCTGATACATGTAACTGCTATGATCCACCACTACAGCTTTGCTCATCTGAGCAAAGCCTTCTGAAGGTGCCACACTGCAAATGGGTAAGATTGATGGCTACCCATTGCATATGCATTTTCTGTTGTGTTCCACACCTCGTGGAATGGCCTGCCTGAGGAAATCCGGAAGGATGCCACAGTTTGGTCATTCTGCAAACTATGTAAATAAGAATTGTTCAGGAGGGCATTTTTAGAAAGATAATAGGGCTAAAGTATAATGGAATGATTCAGGAAGGCAATTGATAAAGGAAACATGACTGTAGTCTATGACAATGTGTATGGTATCTGTATATATCTGTGTATGGTATGGTATGGTATGGTATGGTATGGTATGGTATGGTATGGTATGGTATGGTATGGTATGGTATGGTATGGTATGGTATGGTATGGTATGGTATGGTATGGCATGGCATGGCATGGCATGGTATGGTATGGATATTAACCTGCTCTTAACTGCATTGTTTTCTATTTTGGTAATTCCATTTTCTGCATTTATTAACATATGTCTGATATTTTTTTGGCATTATCTCTAATTGTTATAATCCCAGTCCTATTGCATTGCTTATGTATTTAATTAATTTATTTAACAAGCCTGCCTAAGTTTTCTGACAAAGTAGTTATTTTCCTGCATTATTTCACCTTGTACCTAATCTGATAAAAAATGCAATGGTTATATACTGAACATCATGAAATTACTTCTCTAAGCAAGACAGCTGAGTTCTATTCCCCTCTCTCATGGCTGTAAACTATTTTTCTTCTTAAGTGAAGGTTTTTGTTTTTTAAAAAGGTTTTATTTTTAAAAAAATTAATGGCAGTTTCTAACAGGTGTGATCCAGTCTTTTCTAATGAAAACAATCCACTTTACATTTTCCTGAAATGACATCAGCAAATACATGAACAGACAGCTGCCTGCCCATCTGCAAATGTCCCTCATGCCATGCTGGTTAATTTTAAATTTAAAACATTGCTAAATTTGTCTTCTTACCTCAATCAACATCATTAACTTTGATTGATCCATCACATATTCATGTCCTAAACCAACAAATCAACCTGTACAGCCTAAAACCAACACGAGTATAGTCCCCTATCTATTACAATTTATCAAGGCTTCTGGAAATTTTATACCAGAGGTGCCCAAACTTGTTAAGCCTGTGGGTGTTGTTGGAATTTTGAGTCCAGGTAGAAAGCACCACCACAAAATGGGCTTGCATTGGGGACAAATCACAAAATGCTAGAAGGTTCCAAGGCTTGTTGTTGTTCAGTCGCACAGTCGAGTCCGACTCTTCGCGACCCCATGGACCAGCTCCCGCCAGGCCTTCCTGTCTTCCGCCGTCCTCTGAAGTTTGCTCAATTTCATGTTCATTGCATCTATGACACTGTCTAACCATCTCATTCTTTGCCGTCCCCATCTTCTTTGACCTTCAATCTTTCCCAGCATCAGGGTCTTCTCCAGTGAGTGCTCCTTTCTCATTTGGTGACCAAAGTATTTGAGCTTCAGTTTCATTATCTGGCCTTCCAGGGAACAGCCAGGGTTGATTTCTTTTAGGATTGACTGATTTGATCTTCTTGCAGTCCAAGGGAGTCTTCTCCAGCACCATAGTTCAAAAGAGTCTATTCTTCGGCGCTTGGCCTTCCTTATAGTCCAACTCTCGCAGCCATACATAACTACTGGGAATACCATTGCTTTGACCATGCAGACTTTTGTTGGCAGGGTGATGTCTCTATATCACATCATCATATGATATATATCATCTATACTATATCTATATCATAGTAATCCTGCTCAGTACGAGAGGAACCGCAGGTTCAGACATTTGGTGTATGTGCTTGGCTGAGGAGCCAATGGGGCGAAGCTACCATCTGTGGGATTATGACTGAATGCCTCTAAGTCAGAATCCCCCCTAAGCGTAATGATACCGCAGCTCCGAGGAGCCTCGGTTGGCCTTGGGTAGTCTCCAAGGCTAGCATCCTCCTATGATGGATGCAGCTGTTTCTGAATTGGTGGTCCCTATAGATCCAAAGGTCTGCCCCTCATGGGGTTCTCTGAAGTATCTCCTACTTGAATAAAGTGGAAGAAAGCTGTGATTGGCCTTTTACTTTAGAGAAGAGAAATTCTAGGGAAGAAGCAAGTGGGTTCCAGGAAACACAACCCTGCTTAGCATCCAGAAAACACACAATCTATGACACCTACAGAAACCACAGTGTATGCAGTATATGCTTCAGTTCTCTCCACAGAGCATTGCTTTTTATTATGCATTATAGACCTAAATTAGCTGTGAATTATTGATAACAGAAGATTATAATGAAGACCTAAATCTCAATTCCAGTAAATTAATTTGGGCCATACCAACATTACCCTAAGCATTTCTGACTAAACTGCAAACCAATAATGTATAAGAGATTTATAAGTCTTTGAATGTCACTATTGGATATTGCCCTGTTTTGAATTTGTCTCACTGCTGCCCCTTGAAATTAACCAAAAAGGTGTGACACTGTTTCAGCCCCAAATCTAGAAAGAATGTGTTGCACTGACCTCTACATCAGTATGTGGTTTCATCCATGAACACTGACATGTCTCTGTATATCTCTGAAATAATATAAGCCCCACATATTGTAAAGGTTGTCTTGAAAAAGAACACATGCCTACCTTTGTGTTTTGATATGTGTTGCACCTTTTCTTTCCTTTATCTTTCTGTGAAGAACTGCAAAACAGATATTATCAGTAAATATCCTCTTTTAGATTCATTCATATAGCTTTCTGTCTGGCATATTAAAAAGCCCAGTTAGAAATAATCTACTGACAATCTTTGGGAGACTTGCCTAAATTGGTCCTGAAGAGTCAGCAAGCTGACTCACAAGTGTAGATAGTGAACATGACTTGGTTTATAACAGTGCAAGATGAGAAGATCCTTTGTATTTTAAAAATACTGACTCATCCACAAACAACCCCTGATGACAGCACCATCAGATTTGCATGTGTGAATCTGGTCCTTTCCACACTTGGATCTCATCCCTGGTTTTATCAGAGTTCAACTCGGGACATGATACCTTGCATTCATCCCTGGCTAGAACAGCATCCGTTTATCCTGAGACAAGTATGGGGCAAAACCGGGAGGACCTCAATGTAATGTGGAAACAAAAGATACCCTGAGATAATTACAGGGGTGAACTCGAGTGTAGTGTAGAATGTAAATTTGGGGACAGGGCTGAACCAGGATTTAAGGTCTAATGCGGAAAGGACCACAGTCATCCCCCAATGCTCCTGAATGGGTTTCAGCTGTGAGACAAATGACAAATCACTGAGTGATGGCCTCCTGGGCCCAGGCCATGCCTGTATGAATCACCCACATTTTCTAATTCTGAACGGCTATATTTTAAGCCTCTAACTGACTCTTAAATGAAAGTATCTAGCAGAATATCCAGAAAGGTATTTTCAGGGCTGGCTTAAGGTGGTTTTCCCAGCCATAAATTTTATTTTGTTGTTTAGTTAGTTAGTGGAGCAGTGGAATAGACCATCAGGTCGCAGCCGATTTAGGGTGACCCTGTAGGGTTTTCAAGGCAAGAGATGAAAAGAGGTGATTTGCCAGTGCCTGCCTCTGCATAGCAACACCGGAATTCCTTGGTGGTCTCCCATCCAAGTACTAACCATGGCTGACCCTGCTTAGCATCCAAGATCTGACAAGATCAGGCTAGCCTGGGCCATCCAGGTCAGCAATTTGATAGTTATTCCCCATTTTCCCCCAAATCCAAAGTATCTTACAGCATCATTCTCCCCTTTAAAAAGATGATGCATCCTTTTTCTGAGGTTCCACTGTAACATGTGAAGAGGGTATTTGCATGTCTTCCTTACAAGGTGATGAGATCACAACTTGCACATCTCCTTCCCAGAAATGTAAAACAGAAGATTATTTACTTCCTTTAACAAGTTAAGCTGTTTTGAGAGAGGGCACCTCTCTTAACCCAGAGAAGGATGCTTATAATTCTTGGGTTCCTTCTCTGTTTAACAAGAAATCTCTAACAGGGAACTGTTTATCATTTTGCACCTACAATCCTTGCCCTCTACTTCCACTTATTTAATATACAACAACTTTTACTATTGTTGCTGGAACAATAACAGTACTGTGTACAGGCTGCATGCAATAGCTGTTTTAGATCCTCAGCAGCAAAAGAATAAAACGAATGCAGGACAATAAATGGGACTTTCCACCAAGAGAATATCCAGACTTCATTAAGTGAATGAGTAATTGCTTTGTGTTTTCATTGTAATGTCCAAAGGAGAACTTGGATGGTGGAAGTGGTTGAGCTTCAAATTTCCAGAAAGACTGAGCATCCTTTCTTTTCAATTCCTCTTTTGGACATTTTGGAGGGTGCACCAATGGCAGAATCATGTTGTTGTTGTTCAGTCGCACAGTCGAGTCCGACTCTTCGCGACCCCATTGCAAACCCACCTGTCGGTCCTTTTAAAAACTAGTCAATCCTACCCTTATCCTACCACTCTACTGAGTAAAGTGTGAAGCCTTCCTCCAGTCTAAGGAGCCTTCTTCCAATTTAAGTGGCTCTATGAGGAAGCCCTTTCTAGTATAACACAGCTCCACCCTCCCACAGTGAATAAACCTCTTTTTTCCCACTCTCTCTCCTGGTCATCCAAAATTCAGGATCCATGTTTCTGTCCACAAATTAGTACCTGGTAAGAACTGATGTCCGAGGAGAACCGTCATAACGACAAGAACAGCAAGCATTGCCACTGCGGAGAGGATGTTGAAAGAAGTCTCAAAATGTTGTTGACTTCGAGATGAAAAGGCTGCAATATTTTCCAAAAAAAAGGCCTTGTTTATTAGTAAAAATGTATAGATTGGCTCTTTAACTAGGGTGGTGTTATGCAGGGACACTGAAAGCCAGGAGCAAGCCAAGTCAAGCTCTGTTGTTGCTGGCAGAAGCTCTGAGCATGGTCAGTGTGGACCCAGCAGGCAGTCCCAATGACAGGTGTAGACTCCCTATCGCCTCATTCTGTGCTACCACCAGGTAGACCTGAGGCAGCACCACTCAGCTCAGACCTGGTTCATGGCCGAACAGGAAGATGCAATGGATGAATCTACATCCATCGCTGTTTGTTTGTTTATATTTCCATCTCACTGTTCCTCCAAGGAGATTAGGGTGGCATACAAACACCTTCCCTCCACCCTTTTACCTTTACAACAACCCTGTGAGGTAGGTTATCCTGAGCATGGGTGATTGGCCCAAGGACATCCAGTGAGCAGCATGGAAGAGTGGAGGTTTGAATCTGGATCCTCCAGGTCCTAGTCCAGTACTCTAACCACCATGCCATGCTGTACTTTTTACTGCTTGCCAGGACTGAATCAAGTGGCCCTAGTTGGGGGCTGCTCAGTACAACTTGTTCCTATGCTGTTTTAAAAGGCATCTGCCCCTGCTTAATAAGCAGACCCTTGATATCAAAATTCTCTTCATTAGAACATTTAGAATACTAGCTGTCTTGTTTCCTAGTGATCCCAAAGATGTTGTTAAACAATGAATTATTTGTGGACTCCACTAATACCATTTAAGACTTCTTATCAAGTCATTCCTTTCGTATCTTCCTCCACTTTCCTACTAAGGAATTGGTGCTATGGGATTATATGACTTTTGGGCAAGACTCCTCCACTCCCAAATCTACTTTCCATCCCTTTGGGCCCAGACATGACTGGCCTACCCAGTAAGATTCTGCAGAAAAGGGGAAACAGCATTGATCTCACACTTGGTAGTGTAATTTTCTTCACTGATTATGGAGGACCACAAGCAAAAACTTGGCAATTCTTGGGGCTGCCACCATGTTCCCAGAGAGGTCATGTTTGCAGGCCAGTGCCATGGCTAGGAACCAATGCGTGCACCTGGACAGTGTCTACATGACCGCCAAGATTGCATTGGCCTTTTTGAGCCTCTGCCATTATGGACATCTTTGGGCTCTGTATTCACCACTCCAAAGGAGATGCCAAGACACATGCCACCTTCAGGTGACCATAGCCCAGACAGGAGACCAGCAAAGGCCCCACACTCTCCAGAGGGGATTAGGTGGAGGCTGCCCTCATATGTCAATTAGCCCTGATCATAGCGCTCATGTATACATTTGCAAAGGATGAATGCAACCCCATGCTGATCTCCAGAACCAATTGATTCTGCTGCAGACCCAACAAAATGTTTTGTATGTTTTTAAGTAGCAGCTCTGTTATTGTCAACACTTACCACAGGGCAAACCACAGACATATGTAGGAATAGAATAATCCACATCTGTCCTCCATCCCTTGTAAAAGAAAGGAGGAAAAAGTCATTTCCATCTGATGCAAACATTATGGTATAGTTAATGAAGGTTTGTTTTAAACACAGATCTGCACTTTTTTCCTTGCAACCACTGCATGATATTAGGAACACGATCAGTTTAACTGACAACATGTGGCCAATTAGAGTGAGACTTTTATATAGGTCAGGAGCAATAATCTGCTTGCCTTTCAGCCCAGTTATTTCATTTGCCCTTTACCTGGTCAATATATATCACCTCAGGTTTTCTCAGGGAGCTTTAGCAAGTTCAACGCAAGGAGGAGAGAGCTGGGAGGAGCAAGGGTGATCAGGGCAACAAACTGTGTGCAGTTTAATTCCAGTTGTGACATTGGAATGCAGCCACCATGTCAGGAGGCAGGAGGAGGAACACAAGGCTGCCAAATCTGGGCCAGGACATTCCTAGAGGGTTGAGGGTGGTGCCGGGAGAAAGCGGTGTTTGGGGAAGGAAAGGAGCTCAGTGGGGCGGGGGGGTGATGCTACTTTAGGACTTCCATTTCTCCTAGTCTGTATGGGATACCTTTGCAATGGTCTGGGTGGGAAATGGGGGAAACTCAAGGAAAAACCAGGAGAGTAGCAACCAGCAAATGATGCTGTGCGTAAGGGAGAGGAAAACAGATGTCATTAAGAAGCTATGCTGCACCAAAATCCTCATGTTAAAAAGCCCTAATACCTCAAAAACAGTAGAACAAATAGATCTGAAATGTAGCAGTTAGAAATTCTTAGGGTTAGATGAAACCATTAGAACTTTCAAAAGTCATGGGATGGGGGGACTGCAAATTAAGAAAGCAGAAATTTAACTAATAAAAGTAGTATTGTAAATAGAATTAAAGTAGCTACGCGCATTTTCTCCTTTCAAGCTCAGTGCTCAAATATCTGGAAAGTACAGATTAAGTGGCATGACCATAATGCACTGAATTGTTGTTTGGTCTTGCAGAGTTTCCGTATCACTGGGTTTGACCTGCAGCTAATTGTCTAGAATGCAGAGAGGAGCACCCTGTACTGTGATCTGTTAACTAGATTTGGATCCTAACAAGTTAACTGCTATCCATACATCCAGGGCTATTTTTGGGCAGGAACGCACAGGAACGGAGTTCTGGCTGGCTCCCGAGTTGGCCATGCCCAGCAGGAACTCATAGGCATAATAGGCCACACCCAACAGCAAGAACTCATTAGGATTGGCTACATTAGGGGTGTGTGGCCTAACATGCAAAGGGTTCCTGCTACAAAAAAAAGCCCTGGTTTTTGACTACAAACAAGGTAAACAGAATAAGAAGCAAAAGGTTGGTGTGGCTGAATGACCACACTTCTGGTAATGTGGGGGTGTGGGCTAATATGCTAATGAGTTTCTGCTGTTGGGTGTGGCCTATTATGCTAATAAGTTCCTGCTGGGCTTTCTCTACCAAAAAAGCCTTGCATATATCTATGGATTCTGTGTTTGTAATCCATTTTGCTCAACTTTTACCCACTAAAGGATATCAACTATTTGTCACTCTACCCATCTTTTTGATGCTACAATTATAAAGAACAGATTAGGCTAATGGTTTTTCACCTTCACAGGTGGTGTGCCAGCTGGAAATGCTCTTGGGGGGTATATTTATTAAATAATTCATAAAAGCACTGATTGGGTGAGTTGCAGCATGTTTAGATAATTAATAATGCTCTTTACAAACTTCAGACATATCGTAGCCAGAGCCAGCATGGAGGAAGCAGACATGTTGCTTCCCCCTGCTGATAGTTATTTCCATGCAGCTACAAAATTAACCTTAAAAGGCAGGATTTGTACCTGAACGCAGATATTCAAACCACATGTTTTTCCTGAAATGTTGACATATGTTGACATTGAACCACCCTGGAGTGGGGGAGAAAAACAGGGAAGTCCATAAGCCTCAAGTCAACGTAGATGAATAAGCATGCCTTATTTCCTTATTCAATGCCTCTTATCTTTAAAGAAAAACTACAATGGTTTGCATTATGCTAGTTCTCTATTCATTGTGGGAAGCAGCTGGAGCAGCTGACAGAAATCCTGTTCCAGTTCCTTCAAGCCTTGTCAGTTGCCTCAGGTGAACACATGAAGCTACCTTATACCGAGTCAGACCATTGAGGTGAGTGTTGTCTACTTAGACTGGCAGTGGCTCTCCAGGGTCTCAGACAAAGGTCTTTCACATCACCTACTGCCTGCTCCTTTTAACAGGAGATGCCAGGGATTGAACCAGGGACCTTCTGTATGGAAAGCTGATGCTCTACCACTGAGCCACATTTCCACCCCTAAGAAACCTTTAGGACTCTGTCTGGACAGGATGGCTGAAATAGGCTAAATCACCATTCAGCTGTAAGTGAAGATCTTGTGCTTCTGGCCTCTTTTGTAAGAGGTGCTTGAAGGCCACTTCACATGCCTGCATTTCACAGCTTTCTTGTTTACTTGGCTACTTCAAAAGGCTATATCAATACTCCCAAATGCCATAAAGCACTACAGCTGAGTTCAGGCATCACAAATAAACCATAATTTGTTTGTTACAAAATCCAGCCAGAAACCTTCAGACTCGCACAGCCTCCCCACTCCTCACCCTCACACCATATCAAGATGGAAAGCTTTGTGGTACAGAAAGTCTTCAGTCCAACCATTATTTGCTGAGTACTTTAAAAAGAAGAGGAAGAAGAGATTAGATTTATACCCCACCCTTCACTTGGAGTCTCAGAGCGGCTTACAAACTCCTTTCCCTTCCCCTCCCCACAACAGACACCCTGTGAGGTGGGTGGGGCTGAGAGAACTCTGACACAAACTGCTCTTTCAGGAACAGCTGTGCCAGAGCTTGTGACTGACCCAAGGTCACATCAGCAGGTGCAAGTGGAGGAGTGGGGAATCAAACCCGGTTCTCCCAGATTAAAGTCCGCACACTTAACCACTACACCAAACTGGCTTGTATTTCTTGCATACAAACCAGAGTTGTAAGCCAGGAATGAACTGTTTAGAATCTGTGGATAAGAATTAAATTTCATATTCAGATGCCACAACACACTGAAGTTATGATCAAACCCTGTGTTCACATGGGCAGTTTGATCCGTTGCCTTTGCTGTTCCCTTATGGATTTAAAGGGCATGATCAGCCAGCAACATCTGTCTGTCGATTCCCAGTTGAACGAGTCCCCTTCCTCCCTCCTTGCTGCATGTTTCTTTGATACATGAGAAAGTCCAGTCTTGTTGGTCTGAGCTGGTTCCAAAATGTATTTCCTGCTGTCTGGTCGCACTCTTGCACACCCAAGCCATCAGGCAGGTCTGACTGATCTCGTCTGACTGATCTCGTTTTCCATCCACCATTTTTAAAAAAGTACTTAGCAATGTGTGTACAACTGCTTATTCGCACCTCTCCCCCCCCCCCCCGGGGCTGCTCAAAACTTTGTTTTCTTTTTAAAAACCCTAAAAGAAAGATGCCTCTGTTCTTCAGCTTTTTTCTGTCCTTTGGAGAAGGGGTAAATTGAAAAGATTAGAGGGAGGATGGCAGTCATATCCCAGCATTCTCAGCAAGCACTTGTGTGATTGCTCCGAAGGCAAACTTGTAAAAAAAAAATGGCTGACAGCCCCACGAACTACATATCCCAGCAGGCTCATCCGTGCTTGTGGGCATGCTCCGAGGACCAACTTTTTGAAAAAATGGCTGACGGGCTGACTCCATGCCTGCTGCTGTCTGATCACTCCAGGGCCAGTAGAAGCACTTTGAAGTGCACTAAAAGGGGTGAGTCTGATCACGATTCTCTGGTACAAAATAATCTGGTTTACTTAGAGGCAGGGCAACAGTGGATTGAAGTGCCTGTCTGAATGCAGACAAAAAATTTCCTCAGCAGGATAATCTTTCAGCTCCACTTGCAAGGGGAGGAAGAGGGAAGAATGGCTCATTTTCATGACAAATAAAATGTGATTTGCCTATGACATTTGAACGTATAAGAAAGAGCCCTCCTGGATGAGAACACTGGTCCGTCTGCTCTAGCAGATTTTTCACACAGTGGCCAATCAGTTTCCCTAGAGGCCCAACAAACTGGGCATAGAGGCCAAGGCCTTCACATGAAAACATGAAACTGCCTTATATGAAATCAGACCATTGGTCCGTCAAGGTCGGTATTGTCTACTCAGTCTGGCAGCTCTTCTCCAGAGGTCTTTCACACCACCTACTACCTGATCCAATTAATTGAAGTGCCAGGGATTGAACTGGGAACCTTCTGCATGCCAAGCAGATGCTCTGTCACTGAGCCACAGTTCCTTCTCCTGATGTTGCTTGCTAGCACTGGTATTCAGAGTTTTGTCCCTCAAATAAAGAAAACGTGATGGAACCTTTTGTCTTGTGAGCCCAAGCCACTTCATCTCTCTCAGTTCTGCATTTTCTAACATAAGGACAAGTGTTTCTATTACAAATCTATATAACTTTGATAATTCAGTGAGATGATGTAAAGGAAATGACTCAAAAATCAAAGGTGATAGCTCAATGTAATAAAATCTACATGATTTTCACAGTAATTTGGGCTGTACAAAACATAATGCACTTGAGAGGAGTTTTTTTATTAATTTACATTAGATATCCCACTTCACAGTAAATCCTGGCTACTGTCCAATGTTACGCAGTTCTCCTTATTTAGATATCTTGAGCTATGAGAATGTATATCTTGAGTTGTAAGTGTACTCAACTGGAGTACACAGATGTTCCCACTGCATATCATGCTTCTAAACATTTTTGCCTTGAGCATGCTGGATGCAATTAGAAGTTTATGAGAGAGAAAAAATGCACATACCACTGAGATTGACTGGGGTATTCCAGCAGAGTCACATGAAGACGACTCAGTTATGTTACAAACAAGAACTGAAAACTGTGCCTCAGTATTTGATGTGAAGGAAACTTGTATCTGTTCTTCCATCGCAGAGACTTTCATTGTCCAAGCTGAACAAGAAGAAATATGTCACTGACAATGTGATCCAAAGGAATCTTTCTCACATTGCTTTCCCACACAGTCTCATCTAACCCCTGGAAAGTTGATTCCCAGGTATCTGGGGGTTAGTATCCATGTTCCCTCGCCAGTCTTCTGACTTTGTCCTCCATCCAGCCCTTTTTAATCCCCCCCCCAATAGATCAAAAGGGGAGAAAGATTGCCACACTTGAATCTTCCTCCTTTTTTATCCCCATCCTGACAGCAGTTGGATGCCTTTTCATCAGCTGCTGTCCTGACCATTTTACAGAAAGAGCAACTAATTATATATGCTCCCTCAGGGTGTCCAAGTTCTCATAGAAACTCCCATTCCCACAAGAATCTGGACTCTCTCCCTGCTTCTTCTATGGCTCTACTCCACCATATTCTTTGACTGCCACTCAGCTGATAAGACAGCAATGGCCCGGAAACTTCCTTCATTGCAGCAGCTGCCCAAACCCTCCCCCATCCAGAGAAGTCACCAGTTGGAGGCAGGTAAATCATGCCCAGACAACCAAGTTATGGGACCTGCATAGGCTAATAGGCTGAGAGGCTGCAGTGGGGAAGGGAAATACAGACAAATAGCCCCCTCTCTCTTTTATTAGCCCATGTAAGTTGCAGGGCCACAGAATTCAACTTTCCCAGGGTTGGATGGAACTGCTGGGGAGAAATAGAATGTGAGAAATAGCCATGAACATCAATGCCTTCTATTGTTAGACTGAAGGATCCAACTAACTGTTTTGATCTACACCCAGCTTCATCACTGAGACTCAGAGCTGATAACCAACTGCCCATTTCTTCTACCAACTCTATGATACTGATTATTATTTATGGACTTTTTACAGATAGGATTATGTCCAATTACATAATTCTATCCCACGCATCAACATCTAAGCTTTGAACACAGCCTGCAAAGTTCCCAACCCAGTGCAATTCTAAGAGCCTAATTTCTAAACATAAGAGTGGCATCCCAGGAATCTCACATTTACAACATATACTAGACGTATAGATACTTCTACTGCTTCCACTGTAAGAGATGCTAATGAAACTTAATTATGTTTCCAGTTTGATGATTCTTAAACTCTGTTCTTTAAATACCCCATAGATGTCATAGGGTACCAACTAGTGTGATGACACCACATCTCCAGACCTAGAAACTAGAGAAATTTCACACCCTACAAACTTCTTTTGCTGTTTCTTATACTTTCATTTTTATAATTGAGGGTTTTTTTAAGAACTGATTAGTCTTCTTGTACTTTAATGAGGGCAATGCCTGGACTCAAGATCTCACCCAGCATTCATTTTGCCTGTTATAAGGCAATTATAGGTTTGAAGGAACCACACAGTAGACTTGAAAACAACTAAGAAACAGGACTGTTTCAGTGGTATGTGAGGCTTGGTTGTTTCTTTGATTTCCTTTTCTCTAGCCCTCTCATTATTAAAGTAACATAGGCTGCGGGCACACGGGCAGGAAAATGCAGGGGGGGGGAGCGTGGCTGTTTGCCCAGGGGCTAAAAACCACGCGGTTGCGCAAGCAGACCTACCATGGAGGTCCCGTGGAGGTCCCGTAGTAGGGGGGAGGTGCCAATCACTCCACAGTCCTGTGGCACGGCAAAGAAGCAGGGCGCAGGGCAAACGGGGTTGGGGGTTTTTTAAACTCAAATGTGCGCATGCTCCCTTGGGTGCTTGTGCGCATCCGTGGAGACTTTGGGGGAAAAAAACCCTTTTTGTGAGGGGACATGGGCAGGCGCCGGAACTACCACCGGAAACGCGATCAGACGCCCGCCCTTGCCCCGCGGTTTCAGGAAACTAGTACCTTCGAGGTACTAGTTTTTTACCGCGCATCTTCCGCGGGAAGCCTCGGGTTCACCACAGGAGCTCAACGCTTCCCAGATGTGGCGGTGAGATCGCGCTCGGAAAATCCGCCTATCTTCTGTCCCTCTAGCGTGCCTAATGCTCCGTGTGACCGCAGCCAAAGTTACTGGAGTGCTAGGTCCTGCAAAAGCATAACAATTACAAAGCGGGTTTCTTGTTTGACTCAGATTTATAACAAGGACCAGAAGGGCTTTTCACTTTTATGTATTGGCACATGGTGCCCCTGTTTGTTAGCTGCCCTGAGCCCATTCGTGGGGAGGGCAGGGTAGAAATTTAAATAAATAAATAAATAAATAAATAATAAACTATTTTTGACAGGAATAGCACCTAAACCCTACCTATCTTCAGAATACTTAAAGTACCTAATGAATTCCCTGCTTAACCAGCTGACCTCCTAACCCTTCTCCCACCAAAATCCAACAACCCCCAACTCTGTCAGCTGGCCAGCAGTTAAACTGCCAAACTCCACCATTTATTTTAACATTCCAATAGTCTATTTGAAAGTGATTGAACTGGAAACCATCCATCGCAGCTAGGTAGTTCATTATGCTAAGGTTACTTTGAATCCAATCAATCCATTATTCATGCAGAGAGATATTTTAGAACCATAATGAATGTTTTACCTTGGGCATTTCCATGAGCAAACGGGCATCTAACCCAAGAGCCACGCTTTGTTGTAAACTGAAACGTTTTAAAAAAGTGGTTAGTTGCATAAATTTTGCCCAGTCTGAATTTATAATTTCAGAAGAATGCCACAAAAAAAAGTTGAATGAATTAAATAATTAAAATCTGGATCTCTTGCCATATGATATATTCTGGTATGATTAATCCAAAACCCCATTAAACCCAAATGATAGTCCTTCACAGATAATTACTCAAGCTCATTAGATCCTTAACCAAAAATCTGGGTCAAATCAACCCAGACAAGTGGGGAAAAGTAATAAAACTGTTTTCAGTATTCTGTAACTCCATTTCCCTGAGATTTAATTGAAGCAATAACACTGTGGTGTTTTATACCTCTCTTTTAATTATTTATAAATTGCAAGGTATATTCAGCTGAATATTCATATTCCAAACTGCATTGAAGGAGAAACTGCAATTTTTCTTATTTTTCTTATATTTTCTCCATGGGATCTTTGCTGTTGTTCTATTCCTTTACTAACATGGGAAATGTTTTGAAAGATTAATTTTTATCTTGGCATCTCAATAGAACCCCCTTCCCTGATTTTTATTTCTACGACTTTTTTGGAAGTCCATTCAACTCCCTTACCAAATTAATAACATACATTTTTATTTGGGCAAGGGTTGAATGACTGATGACTGTATTATTACTCATATAAGTTCCCGACTGAGGAGTCAAAACAGAACTAAATAGGGAATGATCCTCAGTACTTTGAGCAGAGCCCAAACTAGCACTGGGTGGTTCTTCCTGACAACAACCTAAATAATTCAAATAGAATAATAAACCATTCATAAGATGGATGCTTTCTTAACTGCTCATCAAACTGTCTCTCAGAACCTTACTAATGGTGATTGCTTCAATCTTGCATGGGGACAGAGCCTTTTCTTCTTCACTTCCATTCCCAGTAGCACAACAAATGAGCAGTGATGAGAAAGAAAAGAGATGAAGGTCGAATCCACATGTGGGTTTCTTGCCGGTTTCCTGACATTTTCACTCCCGTCCCCCAACAAACTGTCTACATTTGAATCCACATGTGGGTTTCATGCTGGCAGTACACCAGTATAAAAATCAGTGTCTACATATAGTTCCCGCCCTCTGGTAGTGACTCCATTGTCATAGCCGCTCCGCACTGGTTTAAATGAATGCTGTTCTTTGCTGCTCTAACCCCTCCTTTCTGGTTTCGTTGCGCTGTCAACCTAATGCAGACATTTTTGAGCCGTTGCGCCACTAATTCTTAAATAATTCCAACTGGTGGTGCACAATAAACTAGACGGTAACTCGTGGTTCGATTCCAACAGTACTCTTTTCTCTTTTTACTAACTAGCCCCCAAAATAATTTTTTAAATTTTTATCTTGTTTTGAAGCTTTTATTTCTTGACCCCTTTTACAGACCGACTGAACATTTTTTAATTCACTACTGGTGCAGTAAGAGCTTACATTTATCTCAAAACGTTTAAATCCAGAAATGGTGTTTCTAATTTTATTCCCACTTGGCTCTATTTCCTCATAGCTATGTACCAGCCCTCAAATTTTATCTTCCAAAACTTATCTATCCACTTTCAAACCATTTATTTTCTTGAAACCCCCCCCCCCCCGCTTTATGGGACATTTTTAAGTTCAGGGGGGGATTTTGAGCTGTAGGAGGCACACTCAGCAGTAAAACACAAGACCTTATGTTTAGCTCAGTGGGTAAATTGGTTTGATTCCTGCATGGCTGCTTTTACTCATCGCTATGTACCAGTCCTCAAAAAATTTTATTTGAAATTTATCTGTTTATTAAATTTATAATCACTGAATATGACTGGGCAATGCACAGTCAGCAGTTTTTTCGAGTAAGAGCTTGCAGTTGGTTAAAAAAATTGCAATTACTGCCTTGTAGTCATGGCGTTTCTCATTTTTAAGTTCACAGGGGTAAGAATGACAGACCCTAGGAGTAACAGAAGTGTTTTGGGACTGGAATGACTGGCCCCAGAGTGGAATGACAGCCCTTGGGGGTAGCAGCAGTGTTCTGGGACTGGAATAACAGGCCCCAGAGTGGAATGACATCCTCTCGGGGTAGCAGTTGTATTCTGGGAGTGGAATGACAGGCCCAATGGTGGAATGACATCCCCTTGGAGTAAGAGGAGTGTCCTGGAACTGGAATGCCAGGCCTATTATTACAGTCCCAGGACACATCTCCTACCTCCTGGGCTGTCATTCCACTCTGGAGCTGGTTATTCCAGTCCCAGAATACTCCTGCTAACTCCAGGGGCTACCATTCCACTGTGGGGCCTCTCATTCCAGTCCCAGAACACTCCAGTAACCCCCAGGGGCCATCTAGTGATGAGCAATAGATTGTGATTAGATAACTGAAAAAAGACAAAGTGGACAGCTCCCCTAATGCTAACTTGAAAGCAGAGGTGCAGCAGTTCTAAACCACACGGGATAACAGCAGCACCAAGCTGATTCTAAAATGCATATGTAGATTCGACCGAAGAGAGGTACTTTCTGTCCATCTATGTACACCAAAAAACCCCATAATCCATCAACCAGGATTTAATCTCTCCTTATATATAATTGTGAAGTGGGGTGGCACTTTCCAGCTCTCCCATTGGCTGTGCAATGCGCTCCCTCAGCCATTGGCCCATCAGCCACCACTCAAGAGTACTCATGTGCCATTGGTCGGGTGCTGGGTCTGCTCCTCTTCCCCACCCACTCCCCCTTCAGTCACTGTTCCCTGTCAGAAGCACTGGCAAATGGCTGTGTCTCCTGATGAAGACAATTCTTCTGCCTGGCTCCTCTGTGGGACTAACTATTCCCTCAGTGGCTGTTGTGAGGAACTCATTGGGGCCAGTCCTGACTAGGGTTGCCAGCTCCAGGCTCCACCTGGAGGTTGGCTACCCTAGGCATAGCAGCGCTTCAGAGCAGGGAGTGCCAGACCCAGGTTCTTCCTGTGGAAACTGTAATTTCAGAGAAGTCACACTTTCAGTGTAACCCCTCTCCTGCCCACTGCCAGCTTGGCCATTTTCCTGTCAGAATAAATCATGCACATTGCTAGACAACCAAGCTTGGTTCTGTCAGTAAAACAGGGTTGTTGTGCAAGTCAAAAGGAGGAGAGGAGAATGATGTAAGCTTCTTTGGTCCCCATTGCAGAGAAAGACTAGTTTTCCTCATGGGGAACCATTGTTGCCAATCTCCAGGTGAGGGCTGGAGATCACTCAGAATTACAACTGTTCTCCAGATGGCAGAGATCAGTTCCACTGGAGAAAATGGTGGACTCTGTGTCCTTATACTCTGCTGAGATGGCCTCCTTATGACAGCCAATGTGACATAGCAGTCAGGGCTTCAGAGCACAGTAGAGGCTGCAGGTGTGGGGGAGAGACAGAAAGCTGAAGAGTCAGGGGCAGATAACGGCAGGTTGATGCTTGGCTGGAAAGGAGATAGGGTTGCCAACTCCAGATTGGGGAATCCCTGGAGGCTTGAGGAGTGGAGCCTGGAAAGGGTGAGGTTAGAGGAGGGGTGGGACCTCAGACAGGTACAATGCCATAGACTCCACCCTCCAAACCAGCCATTCCCTCCTGGGGAACCATTGTTGCCAATCTCCAGGTGGGGGCTGGAGATCACTCAGAATTACAACTGCTCTCTAGGAGGGAGGGGGAGGAGATAGAAAGCTGAAGTCAGAGGGGTAAATAAGGGTAGGTTGATAGTTGCCTGGGAGGGAGATAGAGTTGCCAACGCCAGGTTAGGAAATTTCTGGAGATTTGAGGAATGGAGCCTGGAGAGGGTGAGGTTAGAGGAGGGATGGGACCTCAGACAGGTACAATGCCATAAACTCCACCCTCTAAATCAGCCATTTTCTCCTGGGAAACCATTGTTGCCAATCTCCAGGTGGGGGCTGGAGATCACTCAGAATTACAACTGCTCTCTAGGAGGGAGGGGGAGGAGATAGAAAGCTGAAGTCAGAGGGGTAAATAAGGGTAGGTTGATAGTTGCCTGGGAGGGAGATAGAGTTGCCAACGCCAGGTTAGGAAATTTCTGGAGATTTGAGGAATGGAGCCTGGAGAGGGTGAGGTTAGAGGAGGGATGGGACCTCAGACAGGTACAATGCCATAAACTCCACCCTCTAAATCAGCCATTTTCTCCTGGGAAACCATTGTTGCCAATCTCCAGGTGTGGGGTGGAGATCACTCAAAGTTACAACCGTTTTTCAGGTCGCAGAGATCAGTTCCTCTGGAAAAAATGGTGGACTCTGTGTCATTATACCCTGCTGAGGTCACCACAGGAAATTGACGCTGAGTGCCCAAGGCCTGAGCACTCTCCCAGAGCCTCTTTCTAGGGTACGTTGTATTTATTTCCACAATAGGCGTTATTCCTAGTATTGTAATAAGCCTGAAATTTTAGTGCAATCCATTACAATCCATTACAGAAATCGGGTTAATTCAGAAGTAATGTACCTTCATGCAAAGTCTTGGATGTGCATCAACACGAGAATATTTTACCTGAATGAAAACAGAATGATTGGATAGTTAGCTATCGGCAGACTCTGAAAAGACAAACATCCATCCCACAAGTTTTTAAAGACCTAAAAAGATTATTCATTGATTTAAATTTGTATACATTTATTCACTGAGCTGAAAACAGAATTCTTAACTTGGTGCACACCAAGTATAGACACCATGGAACAATTCTATGTATAAATATCAAGTGAGATGCTCTGTATGGAAATTGCATAGTAATTCTATGGATGTACTCTGTGATCAAAATGTGGGAACCATGAGGACTCATGTGAGATCTTACTTGCCTCAGTCCCCCTCCCCACACTATCTCCACTTTTCCTTCCCATGGCAGCCCCTGCAGCATCTCTTCTCTGTCTGCATTCTTGTTTTTCAGTTCCCCTTTCCATCCCTCCTTTTCCCAGCAAACCCTGTGACATCTCCTTTTCTTCCTGCTTCCCCCTCCCTTCTTTCCATCTTTTTGCTGTTTTCAGTTTACACACACACACAAACACACAGTGACTGACACTAAACCAAGGCATGGAAACCTCAACAATATTGCTTGCGGTTGCCCGGCAACTTTCAAAATGACTGCTATTGTCGCATGACATCATTTTGCAAGATCCCAGTTGGCATTCTGTATTTTTAATTGCCATGTCTACAACAGGAGGGGACAATAAAAATGACAGCAGTGACAATGGCAAAAACAGAGTCTCAACCCTAGCCTCATCCACAGGGAATGATGAACCCAAGCACAAGAGTACCCATCTGTCCACAGACATACTCATCTGCACTTACTTTCTCTGGAGCTGTTTTTGAAGAGTTCATCAGATCAACACATTGATCACTTGTTTTCATCAGCCTACAAAGGCTGACATTGACATGAATAGGGCAGGCAGCTTCCCAAGTTAGAGTCTGGGTGACAGCATTATAAATAATGTCATCCCACAGGGCCTTGGTATCTGAAAGCAACACATAAAGAAATAAGGAAAATCTAAAACACAATATATTCCTCATACACTGAAGACAGTGACATGAATTCATTTTTCTCAAATGCTCATTAATTGCCTATTCAGGAATGGATGAAGGAAAGGTAGGGGTCTCAACACTGCCTCCACAAATGCCAGGGGATTTGAGGGAGGGGGCCACTGGGAGGGTGGAGCTTTGGGAGAATGTGATGTCATGGCTGGTGATGATCTTGGCTACCCATAAAAATACTACGTGGAGGGCATTTTTTTCTCCCAGTCCTCAATTCCTTGGGGGTGAGAAGCTGAAGCTTGGTAATTCCCCACCCTTGAAGGGTAGATAAGAGGCCTGGGGAAAGCCCATTGCTCCCAGCTGTGAGAAAAGAGAGAAAGTTCTGTCCACTCATGAAAGATGAGAAAGCACCAGTTCTTCTGTGCCCTATGATGATGACAGTGCAGGCTAGCCCGATCCCATCAGGTCTTGGGTAGTATTTGGAAGGGCAACCTCCAAGGAATACCAGATGCAGAGGCAGGCAATGGCAAAGCACTTCTGAAATGTCTGTTGCCTTGAAAAAAAGTCTAGCTGACCACCTAGTGGTGCATAATGCTAAACTAGAACTTCTGGCTGCCAAACAATCTTAGGATCTCTTGGCTATTCTACACACAACACCATGTGATAATTAATTAATTAATCAATCAATTCCATTAGATTGGAGACAATGGCACATCTGCTCCATGTGGCCATGAGAACTTTTATAAATGACTTTCTTGTTCCATACACAGGGGTTCATTGGCTGTCTTTGGATCACATGATGTTTTTACTGCACAACACTCCCTACAAGGTACACAACCCCAAAAATATGGCATGACCAAAATTCAGAAATTATGCAGACCTTTCCTAAAGTTCATGCACTTTGTAGACAAATCTGACCATCACAACAATACAGTGAAACCATTTTCTGGTCACTTTCCTAAATGCTTTGTTTAGGAATTTACAAGGCTTTTTTTGTAGAAAAAGCCCAGCAGGAACTCATTAGCATAATAGGCCACACCCAACAGCAGAAACTCATTCGCCAATTAGGCCACACCCCTGACAGCACAGCTCATTGGTATATTAGGCCACACCCCCATGTTACCAGAAGTGTGCTCATCCAGCCACATCCACCTTTTGCTTCTTATTCTGTTTACCTTGTTTGTTGTCAAAACCAAGGGCTTTTTTGTAGCAGGAACTCCTTTGCATGTTAGGCCACACACCCCTAATGTAGCTAATTCGAATGAGTTCCTGCTGTTGGGTGTGGCCTATTATGCTAATGAGTTCCTGCTGGGTGTGGCCAACTTGGGAGCCAGCCGGAACTCCGTTCCTGTGTGTTCCTGGGAAAATAGCCCTGGGAATTTATTATATTGAGATACAGTGAGTTTCAAGAGGATGAAATCACTGAAGGTTGACTGAAAGAGGTAGAGTCACTATTCTGATGGTAGGGTCAGAGATAATTCATGAAGCAGTTGCTACCAGCTTCTGCCACCAAGCATCACTGAAGAGTATTTTTATTGGAAAGTGGCAGGAGGTGGCATCAGGGCTGCTGTGTGGCAGCATGATAAAGCCACTCAGCTACCAAGTAGCTATCAGTACTTAGCACAGCCCAGTGATAGCATCTGACTGCTGCTTCCAAGGGAGAGAGTCTTTCTTGCCAGGAACAGTGAAGCTATAAGCAGCTCCAACTAGAGAAAGGACAGAGATCTGTCCCATCTGAGATGTGGTATATCTGAGAGATTACTGTTGTTGTTGTTATTGTTGTTTCTGTGGCATTGTACTGTTGGGTGTGACTTACATTGTAAGCCACCTTGAGGTCTGCTTGGCAGTTGGAGTAGAAGCATTTTCAAATAAGACAAAGTAACATAGGGCTGCGATCATACACACAATTAGACCTGCCATAGGCACAAATGCCGGGCGGATTTAAAGGGCGCGATCAGACAACATCTAGGAAGCACCCTGCAGCCATCAGCAACCAGTTCTGCTCCACTGCAGAAGAGGAGTTAAAAGACACCAGGGAAAATCCAGTAAAACACGGATTGTGACGGGCCACGGATGGACTTTCCCCTGTCTGATCACTCCAGCACACTCTCATGGCATCAGGATGGTCTGATCAGGCCATCCCAACTCCATGCTGTTGTTGTTTCCCCCCTTCTCAGTATGCACATCATTGCACACTCCATAGGGAGCCCTCAGTGCAGAGATGTGATTCATCGATTCCTCGTTTAAGCGCATTGAAAACAAACAGCAAAAAAAAAAAACCCGACTCACCCATGGTTGCGTCTGATCATGCAGTGGCGGACTGTCCCCACAGCTTCCAAGGACTGTGTGATCACTCAACTGCGGGTCAAATTCCTCCAGAGGAAATAGCCTCACTTCCCCCTCCCTCCGTTTTTTTTTGGCACATGTGACCGCAACCTTCACTGTGTCAAGTCACTGCAGCCATAAACCTCCAATGTGTTGCAATCAGGGCTCCCTCTAAGCTGTGGAGTCTTGCGAGCAAAAAATCTACTTTGTGAGCTACTGGCATTAAAGTTGTGAGTAAGCAATTTGGCTACTGCATAAATTAGTTTGCTCTGGAGCCATCCTTCCTGAGCGAAGACAAGAATGTGTGAGCTGGAGGCTAAAAAACTGTGAGCTAGCTCACTCTAACTCACCTTAGAGGGAACACTGGTTGCAGTAGTTGTCCCTGTGCCTATGGTACCACTCTGGTAGGGCTACTCTATCCTCACCCTTCATTAATGATACCTAGTGGCAAAAGCTAGTAGTCTTTCAGCAAAACTGCTGAGTGAGCCACCTCTGGGCAAGCAGTGTGGAGAATACTGAACACGATGTTATGAGATTTTTGTGTTCTGAATGGAGCTGAAGGTCTGACAAATGGATGCCAAAGAACTTCCATGATTTGGTAAGGTACACTAACTAAAATGAGTAAGAACTACTCCTCTATAATAAGCTTACTATTTTATTTAAAACATTTTAATGCTGATTTTCCACCTGATCAGGTTCCCCAAGGTGGCCCACGTAAAAACATTAGGACAATTAAAAACAACATTAAAATTATAGAATAATTTAACAAAAACACATCAAAACACTAAAACCAGGCAGGAGGGCCAATAACCAGTATTTGGGATATGCCAAATGAAACAAATTCTGCCCACAAGACATGATTAATATTTAACATTTTATAATGCCAGGAAAGTGGTAGGTATCAGCCTTTGTAAACATCTACAGTGTATAATTTATGTACCCACAATAAAGAAAGACAATTATTTAGTTTGGAGCTTCCTCATTGCTCACATAAATTAATCCAAACTGAATTCCCTCCAAACAATGCATGGTGTTTTCCCTTTATAAAGAAACTCATGATAAGAAAGGGCCTGTTATACAAAAAAAATTAATTTAGACAACCACCTACTGAGAGTACTTGATATATATCAAAAAAGCTGAAAAGAGTATCCCACAAAAGGCAATTGTTTCTAATTAAATATGCTACTCTTTATGAAAATATATACTGAAGGGGTATTTAATGCATTCTGCCAGTTTGATGCAACTGTAAATAGTGTAAAATTATATATCTAGAGTTCCAGCAGTGGACGTTTTGCCCTTAAACACACAAGGGTAGTGCTGAAAAGCCCACTTCTGAAGCCCTGGGACTTGCTCTTAGGTAAGTATGTCTCATCTAATTGACCAGTCACCCTGCAACTTAGCTGCAATTCAAAAAGTGTATAGCAAATATTTAAACACAGGAAACACAATTCACTTACTATTTTTAAAAGGACACATCTGCATTCGTCGTGCATCTGGAATTGCTGGCCAGGCCTACAATCCAATTATTTTTTCCCATTAGTTAAAACAATCCATTCCAAATCTGTTTTCATGCCATCTTCATTCATGTCCTGTGTATGCTCACCCATCACTCACAATACAATCCAAAATAGAGTTATACTCTGACAGACTACACTTTAAAATCTCAGAAGTGCTATGTAAACAGGTAATGGACTATGAAGGGTTAATTCCTCAGAGAGCCTTTAACTCATTCTTTATTTGTTATGGCACCAAGCCAGCAAATCAGTAACATTATATATAACTGATATAAACAATTTGTTGAAATATAAAAACCATGCTTTAAAAGGTTAAATAATCTTTTCTTTGCGGATACAGTAACTAGCTGCACAGAATTTAGGTACATGTTTGGTAATGATCTGATTATCATCTGATCATAAGTAATTGACATAGTCAGAGTCCATCAGGTCAGGCATTTCCTTTACCAGAGATAAGATATAAATTTGGCTCGAACCAACTTGTACCATGGGCACCTGAGAAGCATATATTCAATATTTTCAACTTCTCCCATATCATATTGACAAAGTCTCTAATCAAAAGGTATCTTCCTGTATCTCCCCCAAGGACAGCTGAGGGAAGGGTCAAGCATCTAGCTAAGGTGAAAGCTTTTCTTGAGTGACAGGCTGCTTGAAGGAATTTGATTGGTTAGCATCAACTGAGCAGAGAAAGACTTGAGCACTAAATGCTGAGGAAAAATTCAGTTTGAATTCAGTCCTAGGGGTGTGCAATTTTTTTAATTGATATTTTTCAGCTTGGGTCTATTGGACCAGAAAATTTTTTGGCATTTCCAAAAAATCCAAGATCCCAATACCAGTATGGCATTCAGATCTGGGATTTTTCAGAAATACCGATTTTGGGGGGAGGTCTCTCCCAACTGCACACATATCCTGGCTGGGATGGCTTCTCCTGCAGCATGGTTTAAACCCCATCTTCTTGTTCAGATGCCCCCAGAGAGTTGCCATTTTTACTCTCTTGGAAGCACCAGAGGTCCAGGAGCTTGGGTACAAGGAGTTTAGGTACAAGACAAAGTATCCCAAGCCTTCTGGAAACCAAAAGAGTCAGTGAATATTCAAAAAAAGTGTACTGGAGTGTTTGGGAAACACTGAATTAAAAGCCTCTCAACTTAACTTTGAATTATTTGAAACATATGAACTGAAGTCTGTGCATGTACTGATTTACCTCAGAGTTCTTTACTGAACATCCTCAGAAATTTTCCCCCTGATTTCAGTTGACCTTTCCCCCTCTATGTTGAATAAACTATTTTGTTATTTTTGAATTTCAAAAAGCCTTGAGTGCCATTTCAGCGGTTTAAGTTGAAGGGTGAACTCAACCCTTCCCTCAGGTTCCTGGGCTGATCCAGCATCAAAATGTCAGACTGTGACAGGGTGGCACAGCCATAGTTTCTTCAGGGAAGAAGAAAATAGATAGCTAGGGCAGCTTAGTCAGACAGAGAAAGTGGAAGAGGTGCATCACATATACATTTCTGAAATTCACTGAAGTAACTCTACTCAGGATACTGTAAAACACTGCTTGAGGTAGTCTCTACGGGGTACATTTCTTGTGGAGGAAAGTGTGCTAGATAGATTTAAATGCTTGAGTAAAACTCTGTTCATTTATAGAAGTGAAGGGCGGACAGATGCTTTAAAAAGGTGGAAAAGTCAGTTTTTAAAAATGCCAGTTTTAAAAAAGTCAGTTTTTAAAAATGCCAAAGTAATGTTACTTCACATGACCAGTCTGCTTCAGAACCAGCTCTCTCCCAGGCAAAAGTGCTTATTTGCTCCTGTCCTTGTCTATAGTTTCTATGGAAGGAAAACTAATTTCAGTCTCTCTGTGCCCTACAAATAGGATGAAATGTATCTTCCAAGGAGATTTTTTTAAAAAAACAGCCAGGTATCCTCCTTGAGTATTCAAGTAGTGTAAACACAACACCTACACTCCTTAAATAATTGTTAAATAAGAGATCCCCTCAAAAAAGTGCCCATGATCCATCACTTTGAATAATAGGCACAACAGGCCTGATCAAATGGTTGTTTCCCTTTGGTATGAAAGTATTTCTAGTGGAGGAAGAGGAGGAATTATTTTAACCAATTCTCCCCTCCCACTCCGATCTCACATCACACCCTCCATTGTTCTTAGGGATCTCCTGAACTCCAAGGGTAGTAGTATGGGCGGGGGTGGAGGCTGCCGATTCTATTCATGCATCACTGGATTAAACCTGATCATTTTAATAGTACCATTTTCCTTTCTCCATGAGCACATCAAAAACATTTGCAAAATTACTTTTAGAAATAAGATTATATTTATGTAAAGCCAGGATTTAATTTCTAAAATAGAGATGCTGGGTTCTGGAATGTGTTCCCTCTGATCTCAACTAGATTCAAGTGCAGTAAGGCCTTAGAGATCAACAAGAACCCTCTGATCTCAGAAACACTTCCCCTAAATCCTAGATCTATGGGATTCCATGAGGAATTCTCCTCACACAATCTAGGATTTAAGATGATGGCAAAATAGAACTGGTGTTTCACACAATTCTGGAAAGATTTCTGCCAGCATGTTGTTTGGTTGGTTCCTATGTAAAGATTTTGTCCTCTTAGAATAATCATAATGCCCTTTTAAGGAGGAACTCCTTTTTTAATCCAAATTACACATAATAACAAAACATGCAAAAAATACTTACCTCAATGCACAGGCAAGGAAGCAGCTGGGTAAACGGCAAAGAAATTGATTTTACCAGGTCATTCCTTTGAATCTGAAATTGTAAAATAGCAGCAGCAAGTCAAGAATTTCTATTTATTTGGTTTTGTTTTTAGACACTTCTATCTGCCTTGAATCTACAATTTCCAGTTTTCTCAAAACATAACTCAAGATATAGGAAACATCCCTGTAAGGAAGGCCAGCATTATTTTTCCACCCCCATCCCCACTGCAGATGGGGGGAGAAGGTCAAGACAGAGGGATTTGCCTCTGGTTGCTGAATGAGCTCATGACTGAGATGAGATTTGAACCAGCAATCTCTTTGATCACAGTTCATTCTCTTAGCCTCTATGCTATTCCAGCCCCTGATTAAAAACCTTCTTCTACACAATTATTCAAAGAACAGCAGCCCTACCCCTCCCTTCCATGTGGTCATCATCTGGTCACCAGATAAATGCTACAAAGACACACACATAAAAACAGGCAGCAGAGAATCCAACAAAAGTCAGCCCAAGACTCCACTTATATCCATGGTTTGCAGTCCTTTCAGAGTCAAGTGTTCCCTCTAAGCTGAGTTAGTGTGAGCTAGCTCACAGTTTTTTAGTCTCTGGCTCACACATTTTTGTCTTAGCTCAGGAAGGATGGCTCCAGAGCAAACTAATTTATGGAGCAGCCAAATCACTCACTCACAACTTTAATGCCAGTGGCTCACAAAGTAGAATTTTTGCTCACAAGACTCCACAGATTAGAGGGAGCATTGGTCATGACCCACTTTAAACTTGCAGGCTGCAGAATGGGATCCACTGAGCCACAAACCTGTGACACCAGAAAGAGGGCCAGCCAGAGTTATGACTACAGTAGAAGAAGAAGAGATTGGATTTATACCCCGCCCTTCACTTGGAGTCTCAGAGCTGCTTACAAACTCCTCTCCCTTCCCCTCCCCATAACAGACACCCTGTGAGGTGGGTGGGGCTGAGAGAACTCTGACACAAACTGCTCTTTTTCAAGGACAGCTGTGCCAGAGCTTCTGACTGACCCAAGGTCACATCAGCAGGTGCAAGTGGAGGAGTGGGGAATCAAACCCGGTTCTCCCAGATTAGAGTTCACACACTTAACCACTACACCAAACAGTAGTGTCAAAGCCATGAGTGTGGGCAGGAGAGAGTCAGAGCCCACCCAGAAACACAAGGGTTCCAATGTTCCCTCTAAGCTGAGTTAGTGTGAGCTAGCTCACAGTTTTTCAGCCTCCGGCTCACACATTTTTGTCTTAGCTCAGAAAGGATGGCTCCAAAGCAAACTGATTTATGCAGTAGCCAAATCATTTGCTCACAACTTTAATGCCAGTAGCTCACAAAGTTGAATTTTGGCTCACAAGACTCCACAGCTTAGAGGGAACATTGGTTAGAGCTACAGAGGAATCCTCTTGACAGCTGCATGATTTCACCTCACCATCCTGCTGCTCATTTCAGTACAAATGTAAAAAAGAGACATGATATTCTTGCTCACTATTCAGCTGGTGCTTCCAAGAGACAGTAGAAATGGCAGCTCTGTGGGGGCAACTGAACCCAAAAATGGGGTTCTACAACCCACCTGAGGGTCTCAAGCCATGTGATGAAGACCACTGGCTTAGATAAATTATTTCCATAAACCATTTTTAGTACATAGTAAGTACTTACCAAAGACACCAATCCCACATCCTCACACACAAACCACTGGTGGCATAAACGGACATAATAATCGACATTTTGGGCCACATTGGATATGTTCAGCAATATGGTATGTTTTGCTCTGTCCACTTCATAAGCCAATTTTCCAGCTGCAATTTTTTTCAAAATGAGCCCATTACAATCATAAACATTCCTACTTGTACTTTTGTTAATGTTGTCCAATATTATTAAAAGCCTGAAATTCCAAACTCAATGGGAATATAAATCTCAGTTCATTTCCATCACTTTAACATCACTGAATTACCATTTCCCTATTTGACGTACAATGTCCAGAAGGTTAGGACTGATGCTTCGCCCTGACATGAACCCTTTTCAATAGGAGGTCAGTGAAATCTTGAAACTATGAGGTTCCTCTTTTTAATATAATTTGCTGGTTTTCATGGAAACTGGATTGTGAAATGACCACAAGATGGAAATACTGGAATTCTTCACACCTCGATGAGTTGGAATCCATGGATCGGTTCTTCTAGTGGAGGAGCTTTCCTCCAGCACAAGAAGTCAAGGTAGTGTCAAGGGAAGAGGGAAACAACAGATTTATGGGATCCAACCCAATATACCTCTGCATGGTTTTTAGTTCTTGTCTTAGTGCCCCTCCTTATCTATTTGTCACCCATGTTCATATAACAGTCGTTTCTACTATGCAATTCCCAGCCAAATCCCTACAAATCCTAAAACTGAAAACCATCCACATTGCAATAAATATTGGCCTGTGTTTACACAATAGGAGTTAATTATTTTGATCAGAGTTTGAGTTTTATGGCTGATAATAGGGCTATAACACTGGTGCCGCTGATCTTAAACCATATATTTAGGATTGCGTACAATGGTTGTCAAGATTAGCTATCTAATCTTGGCCACCCAGATGAAACTATCTATCCTTGGCCACCAGGTAAAGTACCCATCCCCTCCCCATCCATTCAGTGGAGACTTATTAGTGTTTGAAATCGCTAACCTGAGACTTTGCTACTCTTGTTGCCTCCATATGGTCCTTCTCCCAGTCCTCTTAAAGCATGTTGTAGTTCCCGATGACCCAACTCTTGCCTGTTTCATAGCATCATAGGGTCAGAAGAGACCCCTCAACTCATTCTCCAACTCCAAGGCAAAATCTACCATAAATATACCACATGCAGGTTAATCCACAAAATCCAAAAAAGGTGGATAACATCAAAGGTCTCTACTGAGATGTCTCTGGGTATTTAAGATCTTCTAATCTGTGGTTCACAGGCAGAAGAAAAGACTAAGTAATTTTAGGAAAACTTTCTGCCATTACCCCTGCACAAAGACTATCCAAGGTAATCATGTGATGCTTTGGGTGGGACCATGGGTCAGTAGTAGAGCATCTGCTTTGCATACAGATTGCAGAAATTACACTAGCATCTCCAGTTAGAAGGATCAGATTGCAGGTTATGTGAAAGACCTCTGCCTTAAACTCTGGGTGCCACAGCTAGTAAGATTAGGCAATACTGGTGTTGCTAGACCAATGGTCTGACTCAGAAGAGGGCAGCTTCATAGGTTCATCAGGCTCTACATAATTAGTGACATGACCAAAAGGTGGCAAAGAAATCTAAGACTATATTTTGCTTTCCCATGATTAGCACCCAAGAGGAAGCTGGAATAAGACAGTAACCTTATTGGTCCAAGCACTGAATGAAAGGTAACATCCACCTGTGAAGGTGTTGATATAGCAGGTAATACAAAGGTTCAAGAAGAGTAAGGGTTGCGCTGACCACAGAGGCAGCTTCATTCATGGAAGGAGTGACAGCAGTGACTCCTGCTCTTCAGAAAGGCAGCAACACCACATGGGAAGCTGGCTACCTTGTATTCCCACCTTGCCATCTGAGCCCATAGGAGAATAACATTGCATGCCTGTGCAAGATGGAACCAACCACTGGAGTGGAGCTTCCGGCATAGCCTAGGCCAAAAGGTACTGTATTTGATGACATCACTGTTCTGCATCTCCTAAAAGTCTTGACTATGCCCCTGCTTTTGTGGTACAAAAAAAAATGGTCGGGAATGCTGCCCTTTGGCATTGGCTGGGGCTTGCCTAGCCTGATTTAGACTGCTGTTCACAGATCCCAGATGTCTCAGACAGAAACACTGGTATGATTTTTTAAAATCTTTCCTTTAAAACAGAATATTATTTTCATTTATTAAGAAAATTACATCCCACATTTCTGCTCTCACAAGGGCCACCAAGGTGGTTAACAATTTAAAACATACTGGATACAATCACATTTTAAAACTATTAAAATCAAACACACACACCCCAAGAACACACATCATTAAAACAAACTAAAGCAGACTTTAAATACATACAAAGACGTAAAACAGCAATTAAAATATTGCTCAGGAAAAAAGGAACACTGAGGGAGTGCCAAAGGAAACTTTGGTGACTTGGCTGAAAATGCCCTCTCCTGGGTTGCCACCCACCTAACCTCAGAAGGCCAGATGAGTTCATAAGGGAGTAGGTGAGGTGGTCTTTCAAGTAGGTTGGTCCAAAACTACATAACGCTTAGAGGACCTTGAATTGTGCCCAGAAACACATTGGAAGCCAGTGCAGATGGACCACGACTGGAGTGATATGGTCCATATGACTCACTCCAGTCAACATCCAGTTTGCAGCATTCTGTACCTATTAAAATTTCCAAACACTGTTCAAGGGCAACCCACATAGAGCACTTTGCAGTAATCGAATCTAGATGTCAGCAGTGGTCCTTGTACTATGATTCTAAACAGTCTTTCCCATTGATTTCAATAGAAAGTGTGTCAATATGTCAGAAAATGAGAAAGCAGGCTTACAGTAAGAATCCTGGGGTTGTGGGCTGAACCAGTATGCAGAAAGAGTATCTTTGTAATACACATCAAGCACAGTATTGACTAGATTCCTATAGCTGGAAGGAGACTTATAGGCCATCTATTCTAACCACTGATCAATGCATAAGCAACCAGCAGAAGTTCAGGAGGCAGGGACATAGCCAAGTTTTCCCTGAAAGTGACATAACACTGCCATGTAAAAGCTTCTCCTTTTTTGCCTCCTGCCAGCCACCAGAGTGCTGGCGGGCAATGGGAGTGGGGGCAGTAGATCTCCCACCCCTAGCGAACAAATGGCAAGCCACAATGCAGGACATCCAAAGCTAGAACATTCCTGACAATATGGCCATCTAGCATCTGCCACTGCTTAAAGCCCTCCAGTCATCTAGCCAATGTCCACCATTCCTGATTTACCAAAGCATATATCTACCACAGACTAGCTGAATTAAAAAACAATGACAGTATTCTAAAATCATTACATGTAATTTATACCTCCTGGATCTCAGCTTACCAAAGCAACTTGGAATATGTTTTCCCACATCACTGTTTCTGCAATCTGCAAAATAAAAAGCAGATTTTTTTTCCAGAAAACCATTCTTTTTTGGGGGGACATCTATAGTCTGTCCTCTTTAGGGTTACCAAGTGAAAAAATCGCCACAGCGGGGGACTCCCGGCTTGCGGCTTGAGCGCGCGCGCCGCATGCACATCACCAGGAAGTGACGTGATGACACCGAGCACGCTGGGGGCGGGGCCACGACTGTCTGAGGGAAAACCATAGAGTTTTCCCTTGGATGGTCGTGGCCGGTGTCGTCACGTCACTTCCTGGTGATGTGCACATGGGGGTGGGGTTTCCCCCAGGCCCGATCCACCAGTGCCTTGGAACGGGCCTCTGGGGCGGGGGTTTCCCCACCCCCGGGGGGACTTGGCAAGCCTAGTCCTCGAGGCCTGGCTTGCACCAGTAGACACCCTTCAGTAGTATATGAAGAGGACAGCATTCTGGTCACAGGATAGGATGCAAATGTGGATAGAACTTAAGATGTAACAGAGACCTCTTCAGACTTAATAAGAGAAAACCAGCAGGAAAGGAGAAGCTGCATTTTGCCCCATTCTTTACCTCCATTTTGTTTGCCATAACCTTTCACAGCCTAGGGCCTACATATCTGAACAATCATCCTGGAAATTCACTGTTGATTTTACTAAACAATACTGGGCTAGATGGACCATTGACTGACTCAATATGAGGCAGCTTCATACATGTCATTGGGAACTCAAATGTGATGCAGACGCTATTTGAAAAAAATTACATAATTACCAGTTTGATCAATAAATTTTGTCAGCTGATTTGAGTTCTGTGTTGGAGAAAAGTGGGAGAAACTATTGCCAAAAAATGTAAATAAAATCAGCTTTCTAGCTTCTTGTGTTTTGCTGAAACCCTACTTTTGTTTCCATGTCTCCTGGAGTAAACTAAAATTTCTTTTAAAATAATTGTGCTTTCTAAAAAGCCTGTTTATGACATTTGTTAGTATTCCTCATACAGTGAAGTGTAGGACATCAGCTGAAGGACGTTTTTTAAAATATATTTGTGCTTTACATTTAAGGCAGAGTATATAGCTGTCCTGACAGCCATAAAGAATTCCTTTTCATTCATAAACACCCTTAATCAGGAAAACTGAGCAGAAAATTCATTGAAGGAAGCTCATAGGCTTTACTGGCCAACCACCATGCTAAACGCCACCACTGCTAGTTTTTAATTATTCTTTGTATGTATGTATGTTTGTATGTATGTATTTGCCATTTGCCCTGACCTCGATGGCCCAGGCTAGCCCAGTATCCTCAGATCTCAGAATTTAAGAAGGGTCAGACCTGGTTTGTATTGATGTGTGACCAACAAGGAGGTCCAGGGGTGAGTCAGGCAATGGCAAAGCACCTCTGAACATTTCTTGCCTTGAAAAGCCTATGGGGTTGCCATAAGTCAGCTGCAATTTTATGGTACTTTCTACCACCATGTATTATTTATCCAGAATACTGCTTGAGGTGGTTTTGTGAGATAATCATCAAGCTCATCAAGCAAAACAAGAGAACTTTGGATGCTGATCCTGTCTCTTTCCAAAAAACATAACATCCCCAAACAAAATTGCAGGTGCAAAATGTATTGGCCTTTTTCAACTTTATGATTGTTAGACCCCAATTCATAGTCTTTGAGTATCTAAGCTCCCAAATTACTAAAAATAACCTATAATATCAATACTAACTGAAGGCATAGAAGATCGCCACACCAGAAATATTTGAACTTTATATCAAGAGACTGATAATAAAATTTTAACAATAGGGAGAGCATTACATAGACAGGAGATGCATCTTTGCTAGGCTTGGAACAATAGAGAGAACACTGAGTACCTTGTATACTTAGCACTTGCTATTAAATCACAGGATGCTGTACATACTCCTAGAGGATTTGTGGTAATACATGGGAATATTCTTTTCTTACCATTGTTACCACAAAGGTTGGAACAACTAACTAACAAAGTTAAAATAACAGCAAGTTGGAAATGACCCCTTATAAGGAACCTTTTTACTATTTGTGGGTCTACAAAATCAGACTAGCTGTGTGAGGAACTATTTAAAACAACTTTAATATGAGGAGGAATGAAAACATAACATACAAGTGAATAGCTCTGAACTGTAAATTCTGTAATTAAAACCACCCTAATATACATCCTAAGTGTGAGCCAGAATTCAAAAGGAAAAGAGTTTTATTTCTTAGTAACTTCATATAGGGCAGTGATAATCCCTCAGGGGCTCAACAGCCAGTGTGACTGACATGCAACCTGTGTCTCTTCCCCACTGCAGCACCTGCCCCATTTTTCTAGAAATGTGAGCAAGGTCATTGCCTGGTAGGGCTTATGGTTGGCAGGTGGATCGCTCCTTGAAACAGCTGTTGCTGGAGGGACTGAAGGATGGGTAGGCTGTGAACTTCTCTGAGCTGTCAGCCTCATTCCAGGGATGGAAGTAAACAACCCTCCCTTCCTTCTCTGCATCCTCTGTGCTCTTATCTCAGAAATGGCCAGGAGGTCAACAAGCTTGACTGCAGAGAAAACAGAGTTAAACCACCACAGCAGCCACCCAAGGAAACAGCAAGATAGTGGGGTGGAGGGGTGGTTTCACTCTGCCTTCTCCAGGGGCAGCAGGTCCTCCTCTGGGCACCTTGGCAATCTCACTCTCTCACCTGACTGTCTGCATGTCTTGCTGAAGAGGGAGCAAGAAGACCAAGAGGGAAGTCCACCCCATCACTCCAGATACATAAGGACTGGCTAAGGTTCACTAGTGATGGGAGAAGACAACACAATATGCACATTCTGGTAATCTAGGCTGCGATCATACACACAATTAGACCTGCCATAGGCATGAATGCTGGGCGGATTTAAAGGACACGATCAGACAACAACGTCTGGGAAGCGCCCCGCAGCTGTTGGCAACCTGTTCTGCTCTGCCACAGAAGCAGAGTTAAAAGACACTGGGGAAAATCTGGTGGAAAATGGGTTGCGATGGGCCATGGATGGACTTTCCCCTGTCCGATCACTCCAGCACACTCTCATGGTGTCGGGATGGTCTGATCAGGCCATCCCAACTCCGTGCTGTTGGTTTTTTTCCCCCTTCTCAGTATGCGCATCATCACACAATCCATAGGAAGCCCTCAGTGCGGAGATGCGATTCCTCGTTTAAGCGTATCGGAAACAAACGGCAAAAGAAAAAAACTGACTCACCTGCCATTGCATCTGATCATGCAGTGGCAGGCTGTGCGCGCAGCTTCCAAGGACTGTGGGATCGCACAACTGCAGGTCAAATTCCTCTGGAGGAAATAGCCTCGCTTTCCCCCTCCCCCCCCATTTTTTCTGGCGCATGTGACCACAACCTTAAACAGTTATAATTACACAACAAGATTAATAGATGTATCTTATTGTATTGTGTTTTTGGTGTGGCAGCACTCAGGGCAGTCATGTGGCTCTCTTGGTTGGTGGTAATTGTGAGTGTAGATCTTCATACACTGCAGAGTGAGTTCCACTGGTTTAGGGTTATAGATCTAACAGGGAACAGAGGTTTATAAGATTATGTGTGGGATGGAGCAGGTTGAGAAAGAAGTACTTTTCTCCCTTTCTCACAATACAAGAACTCGTGGGCACTCAATGAAATGGCTGAGCAGTCGGGTTAGAACAGATAAAAGGAAGTACTTCTTCACCCAAAGAGTGATTAACACATGGAATTCACTGCCACAGGAGGTGGTGGCGGCTACAAACATGGACAGCTTCAAGAGGGGATTAGATAAATATATGGAGCAGAGGTCCATCAGTGGCTATTAGCCACATGGTATAGATAGGAACTCTCAGTCTGGGGCAAGTGATGCTCTGTATTCTTGGTGCTTGGGGGGGCAACAGTGGAAGGGCTTCTAGTGTCCTGGCCCCACTGGTGGACCTCCTGATGGCCCCTGGTATTTTTGGCCACTGTGTGACAGAGGCTGCAGTTCCTTACAGGAGGCCATTAGAGATGTTGAAATTAGAATGCCCAAGCCTCCTTTCATCCTCCCACGTTCCCTTCCCTTAGCAGCCTTCGTACTAAAAGATGTATAACCCTCCAGCTCCAGGGGTAGGTCGGTCCAAGTTTCTTGGACAGCCAGCACTTCTGGGGTATGATGCTGGCTGAAGATCATCGGACCTCTAGATAGCCATTTGAACCACCCTGCAATGTTCCACGAAATTATTTCCAAGACCCTTAAATATTTTGGCAACTTTCGCTCTGAAGCCAGTCATGCCGAGGTTGTACCATCCCGTGAGCTAAGGGACGTTGTGTAATTTGGATCCTGATCCAAGGGCTGTTGGACTGTCTCCTGGCCGATGAAGGATGCATTTTTGCATTAAGAACCAACTCAAGACAATCACTCTTCTGAATATAGATTCCTACCTTCAACATAATACTCTTGACTCAGTTGGACTCCACAGTAATTTGGAATTGTTCTCATGGTCACGTAGACATGCTGCCCTGCACTGACTTCAAAGCAATTAAATTGCAGTTTCACCTGTTTGGAGTACATATGTAAAAATTAAGTGAATTCCAGACCATGCAGAAAGATTACCAAAAAAGAGAACAACAGAAGACAGTTCCGAGGAGTTCTCACTGACTGCTTTGTTCAAACTTGTGAAAAGTTATCTGTTTCATTACACATCGTCATTTTGAATCATCAAAGATATACAAAGATAAGAGCATCCTGGCAGATTTTTCCAGGAGGAGTTTCCTCATCCTAAGAGCTTGTTATTTATTTCTTTATGCAAAATATTGGTTGACTGCTGTCTCCATAACTGTGCTCAGTGGTTCCCAAGTGCTTTCTATTTCAAAAACAACAGAGGTAAAACCCTAAGAGGGGAATTATTGGGGAACATCTTGCCAGCTGAACAATGTCTCAGCTGTGCTTCTGTCTCCTTCCTGTCTACAGATACAAAGGGTGTGATCCCACAAGCAGTTTGGCCCAACATAGCCACCCCTCCCCTCCGGATTAAATGGGCGCGGTCACACAGCCACATCTGTCAGGTGTCCCCCCAGGCATACTCACCCCATCGTAGCATGACTTGGACCTGGCTAAAAAGGGAACTGCCTCACGAGTGGTGTTTTTTGTTCCTCACACATTCATTGCGCATGGTCAGATGTCTGAATGCAGGGGAGCATGCACAAAATGGATTGGCAGTCTGAACCTGCAGATCTGTTTCTGCCACTGGAGTGGTGTTTTTTTTTAGTTTTTGCCTATATGTGTACATGCGCACATGCGTCAAGCATATGTGCATGCACATGAGCACACATGCATGCATATGCACCCACCAACATGTTAAAAACTGACTGAGCAGTGCACTCCATGGCTGAGGCACTGCAGTAATGTGGATGCTTGACCAGGGGATGGCTGCGTGTGTAACCTGCAGCAGGGTGTGCTGTCTGGATGATATGCCCTGCAACATTTTAAATCGGTACAATTAGAGGTGGTGCCATATCATGCCAAGCCACCAGTGTGGCCACACATCAGCACTCTTCAGCCTTGGCTTTTAGCCCATGGGTCTCAACCCATTGCCATTGAAAGAACAGGCTACTGGATTCCAGATATGATTTTATGGGGAGCAGTTGTTTGTTTGGTTTTTTTGTTTATTAATTGGCTTTTGCTTGTTTAAATTGTTGCCATTTTCAATCAGGTACTTTAGTGAGGCACTTTAGGTCCCTATCAGGGAGAAATGTGGGGTAATAAAGTGCATAAATAAATAAATAAGTCAATTCTCTGCTCCAGCAATTCCCTGTGAGAGCCAGTGTTTCCATGCACAGACACAATGCTCCTCCACCCACAAGCTTTTCAAAATTTCGGCAGAAGCTCTGTTTAACAGGATGCCCTTTAAAATTAACACACACAGCTAATACAGGGAAGATCCTTGTGCTGTGGTATGGTTGTTTCTGAAGCAACTTTTAAAAACCTGTGCAGCCAATAGGATTTCCATTCAGACGTCCTAGTGCAAAAAAGCCCCACCTGGCCCCTCCTACTTTCTAAAGATCATTTGGCAGGCACCAGGAAAGGGGTTGGAGGGTGCCATCGCACTCATGGGCTTCACACTGGGAAGCCTTGCGCATAGGCAAAACAAGAAGAAGGCTGCTTTCATATGGAAATCACTGATGACCTTGCTAGGTTTTCAAGTACCTAGCCACAAATCAGAATGACTCTCAAAAGAAATGTAGTCATATCAGTAAGACGCTTTTCATAAATATACAGTGCAATCCAAAACAGTTATTCCCTTCTAGGTCCACTGAAGTAAATTGGCCTAGAAGGTGGTCAGTCTGTATAGAACTGCTCTGATATTCAGTCAAAATACGAATGAATATCAATTAATTATCTTGTCGGATCAAAAAAATTGTGAGACATTTTGGCTGGAAAGAATATAATCACTTTCTCATGTATTAACATCTTTTAAAGATTTTTTTTAATGAAGGCATCTGGGAACATTGGCACAAAACTGCCTCAGCCCACACACACACACAGTCATGATTGTGCTTTCATAATATTGATGCAAATACAAGCTGCGTCATCTTTCAACAGGCCGACAGAATGATTAAAACCAGTGCCTTGCCCTCTTTTATCAGTGCTAAGGATCATACTTAAATAATTTCAGTCTCACTTTCTGTGGGCAATCAGGCACAGTCTCAGGGATTACTACTCAGCGATCAATGGCTAACAGCCAAGATCCAGGAACTGCCTGATGTAGCCAAAAAGGGGTCCTTTCAGGAATGCATTGGAAAGTGAATGGAAACAGCTCTGGAGCAAATTAAACTAAGCAGTGCCTGAGGCACTACAAGATAGTGCCTCAACTCACCAACAGTGTGCATTGCCTCTCCCTTGGCTTTCTCCTGCGAACTGACAACAGCGCAGGAGGGGATAACAGGTGAGCTGAAACCAACTACAGTCACCAATGAGGACTCAGAGGCAAGTGTCTCCTGAAGTTCTCCCAGAGCTGCCAGGCTTGCTCTTTGCCACGAGTGGCCCACCAGGAAATGTCCTGGTAGGTTAAGTGGCCAGTTCATCTCTAAGTTGCTTCCAGGAAACCTTCATCCCATGTGTTCCCCCTTCCTTTATACTGACAGATATGTTTTCAAACAGGTTAATACTAACAGCAATAGGGGCCAACTGGGTCCAGCTCTGGGGAGACAGAAGGAAAAACTGCTGGGACAGAGGTTGTGAGGAAGAATGTATGACTGAGAAGGGTTAGGCATCCCTTCCCTGTAATTCTGCCCTCCCTGTATCCATGTAAACATTATGAGTCCAGGGGAGGTCCAAAATATTTGTTCACCCAAGCAAGTTCCACTGATTGCTTCTGCACATATCACCACCAGCTTCATCGTGTCCTTTAAATCCGCCCAGCTGGCTCACCTTGGAGCTGCCCAACAACTGTTTGGATTCAGTAGGTGATATCTATCACCTTCCAAGACAGGGGAATTCTTGGGAACATATCTTGCCAATGTATACAGAATCTGGACTAAGCTTCTGTTTCCTTTTGTTGCAAGTATTTAAGCCAGAGATGCAAGCCATTTGGTGCAACCCAAAGAGAAAGAATCAAAGGTATCTTAGCCCTTGGTTCTCAGCCCATAGCTGATGCAAGGAGTGGAGAGCACATGGTGAGTTGCTGACAGAAGGGTACATCACCACCACAACAAGAGTTTATGTTGGACTTTGAGAGGGAAGTTTCTGAGGCTGTAGAAGATAGATTTGTTCCTAGGGAGATGGATAATGAAGCATCAATTTCAGTGATGTGCCAGGGTTGTACCATGATCATTTTTCTGCCTTGCCAGGAAATGCATTATACATTTTGCAAGTGCAAGCTTATAAGAATGCTTGAGGAGAAGGTGGGAGAACTCGAAGCACAAATCTGTACATTGAGGAACATCAGGAAGGGAGAAAGATTTTTAGACATGAAGGAAGAGGGGCTCCTGAGAGAACAGCAAGAGCTAGCAAATCCTGAGCAAGAGGAAGGAAATAACAACGAACAGGTGGGTTAGTGGAAGAATGTGACCTTGAGGAGTAAGATAATCAGGAAACACTCACAGCCAGTGGAGCTGCAAAATCACTACCAGCCGCTTCTGATGGTGGAAGATCAGAATAGCAGACTCCAAGATCAAAAGGATGTGACTGACACACAAACACATAGACTGAGAAGGAACCAAGCTATCCCATGGAGGAAGAGATGAGTAGTGGTGGTTGGTGACTCCCTACTGAGAGGGACAGAAGAAGTTGTCTGGAGACTGGACAAGGAATCTCGAGAGGTTTGTTGTCTTCCTCGAGCATGTATCTGAGATGTGGCTGAAAGAATTCCAAGACTGGTCAAAACCTCTGATCGCTACCCACTCCTGCTGATCCATGTGGGAAGAAATAATACGGCTTGAAGAAACCTTGAATTGATCTCCAAAGATTACGAGGCTCTGGGCAAGAAGGTGAAAGATCTGGGGGCACAGGTGGTGTTCTCCATTTTACCTGTTGAGGGCCATGGAGCTAGAAAGGAGAACAAGATACTGGAGGTGAATGGCTGGTTACGTAGATGGTGCCATCGAGAGGGATTTGGCTTCCTGGACCATGGTATGTACCTCCAACATGAAGAACTGTTGGCGATGGATGGGGTGCACCTTACAAAGAATGGGAGAAATGTATTTGCTGGAAGACTTGCGAACCTGATCAGGAGGGCTTTAAACAGGGGGTGGGAAGAAAAGGCCTGATGTTGTGCAGCATCCCCAACACTAAGTTCAAGAAAGAGAGTGACCAGAGAACAATGAACGTGAGAGAGGTGAGTTCAGTAATTTTCAGGTAAATTCAAAGGGACCTATAGTAGGAAAGGATGTCTGTAATCTGAGATATCTTTATACTAATGCACAGAGTATGGGAAATAAAAAGGAGGAACTTGAACTTCAAATATTGGAAAGTACGTATGATCTGATAGGTATCACTGAGACTTGGTGGGATGAGTCTCATATGGAGCACAGCGACTGAAGGATATACCTTGTTCAAGCAGAACAGAATAAACAAAAAAGGAGGTGGGGTGGCACTATATGTCAAGAATGAATACACTTGCACTGAAATTCAGAATTTTGAGAGTTGCCCTGTTGAAAGTGTGTGGGTAAGGATAGAGCGAGGAGAAAAAGAAGGGGATATTGTTGTTGGGATATACTACAGACCTCCGAACCAACCGGAGGAACTGGATGATGCATTTGTACAACAGCTTGCTAAACTTTCACAGAGACAGGATGTTGTGGTTATGGGAGATTTCTTTTTTTTCTTTTTTTGAGCCCCCGGAGGGGATTTTTTATTATTTTTTGTAAGACTACAAAACTACTACAGAAAAAAGGGGAGGGGGACTACATATATAGGATAAAGCAAAGAACCCACTACTAACTAAAAACCCAAGAGAGGAGATAATCAATAGCTTAATTACATCAAGTATCCCCTTCTTTTATGACATTATAACCCTAGTCAAATGTTTATAATATTTTACCATTTTCTTTAAATCTTAAAACTTAACTGTCTAAGAACAGTACACCCAATCATCCCATTTCAAAGTCCTCAAAGGCACAAATCAGAGTCCTTCAGCCTTCACGTCTCCTTTTCCCGTCTCTTCTGCAGCTTGTAAGGACTTTTTGGAGCTGCTGCCCCTTGCTCTGCCAGAGAGTCCTCCCCACTAGACTTGCTGCCCTTTTTTCCCATCCTCTGGCCTTCCCGACTGGACCCTTAGAAATTCCCGAGTTTTCAGAACAGAGTCAATCTTTTCTTTTTTATCCTTAATTTTGAAGGTGACGCCTTCTGTAATAAGCCATTTATATCCAATTGAATTTGTCTGAAGAAAAAGCACAAGATCTTTGTACTTCTTTCTCTGTTGTCTTATTTCAAATGGAATGTCTTTTAAAACTCTGATGGCATTCTCTCCCACTTTCAGGGATATTCCAGAAACTTAGAAAAAGCACGAGCTCTTTGTACTTCTTTCTCCATTGTCTTACTTCAAATGGAATATCCTTTAGCGTTCTGATGGTATTTCCCCCCACTTTCAGGGGTATTCCAGCGACCACTTTCAGGATTGCATCCCTCACATGCTTCTTCGAGAATCTTACGACAATTTCCCCACGCAGATTATTTTTCTTTATATAGCCTGAATATGATCTGTAAACCACATCCATCTCGCTCAGCA